AGCCGCAATTGGAATAAATTACCTAGGCACCAACTTCCGATCATTCAATACAGCATGAAGCTACCTATGCGCTTGCTCGTCGGTCTCTTCCCTCTTCCGCATGGTTTTACCGACGCCATTCTCGCACCTTCTTGTGTTGATCATCGCCCTTAAGTACCCACACAAAGTATCGATCAGCAGAGGTAATGATCAGTACACCCCCATCAAGGACTCCACAAAGATCAGCTCAATCAAAATTCTGATACCGCATTGTATACAGAGTATCTCTCAACGTAATATCATCCTTAATAACCTTTTCTATCTTTTCTTGTTGTTGTTTTTTGTAACTCAGTTCTTTTTTGACATTCGTGACCGTCACGTTCTTTTCTGTGCCATTGGTTTTTCAAATGCATCTTAACTTATACCTTTATTTTTCTTTCAGCCGGAGAGGATTCCTGTGTTTCAAAAGGATCAACTCGCCAGTCAAAATAAAAAGCTATAAGCATGCTCTTACACACTTTTGGTCCAACCAGAATTCATCTGCAACTCCTGTTCTAGCTTTTTTCAAGATGACTCAAAACACACCAGTCACAACTATCATTATGTTGGAGTTAAAGGAGTGCTTTTCAGCACTGGTATTGGAAATCTTATATATATGAATCCGAATCCCTGGGTCTTTGTCAAGTCCCTTTAAATGTAATGAGACTCAGGTGTGGATGATTCTGATTATAACGATGATCATGAATCAGTCTATGAAAGAGACTGATGAGTTGATCGAGAGAATTCCACAATCTATGGAAAAGTAGATTGTAAGGAAAACTAAATAAAAGAATAATAACTAACACCTGATTATAACAATGATCATGAATCAGTCTATGAAAGAGACTGATGAGTTGATCAAGAGAATTCCACAATCTATGGAAAAGTAGATTGTAAGGAAAACTAAATATGAGTTTGATGAGAGAAAGAACAACAAGAGATCTAACAGTTGTTCTAATATAAGAAATCATCGAACACATTTGATCACGTAATGATGTTAGAAAGAAAACCTATCCTACAATGCACATCTAGTAATACGCGTCCTGCTCTTTAGCATGACGTTGCTTTGCAACGTTCAATTAATGTGTCATTGCTGAGCTTGGAGAGTCCATAGCATTTATTCCATTTAAGAAACATCACATATACATCTGCATACTTTTGCCTTGGTTCCCTTCTGTGATGTTCCAACAGATTTCAATACAGTGAAAGTTTGGAGAAGCTTCTTGGTGATTCATTTCACAAGCAAGGGATGAGTGTCTTACATAGATGTCCATCTTGGCAAAGTGCAAATAAGGTAATTGGGAAAGAGAGTACAAGTTAGGAATGTCAAAGGCATTGAAGTACAATGAAAATGACCTGATCCAATACATCAGGATCTGGCTTACAGCATTGGTGGCTCAGCCTGAGCCACGACCCAAAAAACACGGGTAATGGCCTTCCCGCACTGCAAACCAATATCCAATGAACCCCCCCGCGCCCGAACCCTACCCCGACACAATCAAAACCCGGCTCTCAGAAGCCCTCCTGACCCCTATCCCAGAGGCCTAAAACCCGCGGGTAGCCGGGGATTCCTACGCCTAACATCGGGGGTGAGGACTATGCCACCCCCGCCCCCAAACCCCACAGGCCCCCCGATGTATTGGGGTCCCAAAAAGCCTGACCAAACCCGCACCCCAAGGATCTGGGGCTTGGGCAACCCTTGGGGCATCAGTTTTGGGGCTCAGGCTGATCGGTGGCCAGACCTGGTGAGGACTTGTCAAGAAGATAGGGAATGGTAAATCCAAAAAGCACACAAGTAAAAAAAACTGCGCTCAAAAAGCGCAAGACAAAAGCACAGAGAGAACCAAGAGAAACGGAGAAATTGGGGTATCATACTTTGCATTCTTCTATTGACTCTTTTCAGGATTTGCCTATTGATCATGTTGTAGGTAGAAGAGTCATTGCTGGCTTCAAACTATCAAAGACATGTATGTACTGAATGTTTGAGCCTTTATAGTATTTTTGAACAATTATATATACCAACAACACCACCGGCGCTCCGCCCGAGATAGCGGCAGCGGAGCGGTAGCACAGCGCCCGCTCCGCTCACGCTATGGTTCTGGACAGATAGCGGGTCTTTGACCCTGCTATAGCTATGGTCCTACCCCCAAGCGCCATAGCGATTTGGTCATCCGCAGTCTATAGCGGATTTCCGCAGTGCTATGTGGCGACAGAGCGCCCCCAAGCGCTTAGCGCCATGGAGCCCCATGGCGACCCATAGCGTGCAGATTCAGGATATAATTGATGTTATCAACCTTTGACCAATGGGGTTGGTAAACTTTTCTATAATCTGAATCTATCATTTAACACTATATTTATTGATCTTGGTATTCAATAGACCAGAAGAAGCCAGTTGTGCTGTTCAAAAGCAAAACAGGGTGATATCGCCCATAAAAAGAAAGCACTCAGCATTTTAGCTCCTCTCGGTTCTCAATGGAGGTTCTAAAATTTAAAGTAAGAACAAAATCTTTGATGATCAACCAAAGAAGATATGCATTCAAACAGATTCAATTGTATATAGACAAGCAATGAACATGCCTTCTTATGGGGCTTAAACATTTCGATCCAATCCTAAAATTGTAACTGTAGCTGGTTTTTACTCAATCTTTGGTTGTTCTCATAAACTCGCTTGTCTACAGCCTGCTTCTAAACAAACTTCACCACCAATCAGCAAAACACAACCAAAACCTGTAATGATTCTACAAGATCCAATGATTTAGTTTCAGCGATGATCGCAGGGATGGAGAAGAATACAGTCAAAGCAATTAAAGCTTCTCAGAAGTCTAAAAAGAAGAAAGAAGTAAACAAGAAACTAAAGAATCAAATCGATCATCAACTTGTAAAGTACCCATGGTTTAAGAGGTACGCTGAAGCTTTTATACACATCAACTTGATCGATCTTGATCCACTGTTCAATCACTACAATATCCAGGAAAAACTGTTTGATGAATTGTGAAATAATCTTCATACCCAAAACATCAATTGAAGAGCTCGTAACGGCTTTTATTGTAGCTCTTGATTTGGTCAATCTTCAACACGCTGTTGAACGATTAATGACTGATTCAAATCGAGATCAAAGTAAAAAGTACCAACCAGGGGTGAATTCTGAAGTGGAATTTATTGATAGTCGAAAACAAAAACGAGTGGATCATTAAGAATTGCGCCAATTATCAATACTGAATGAGAATTTTCGACGAATGTACCTACTGCTTCAATGGAGATTGTTGATAAAACAAGTGATTTGGAGTGTAATCTTATAATACAAAAACACCTTCTGTGCCTCGCTTTGGATAACTATCGTGCCCAAAATTTTACCATAGCGGAGCGGAGCAACTTTTAAGGCCGCACCGCTTTGAGATATTGGGGCGATTTAATTTTCATAGCGGAGCGGTAGTGGTTTCTTACATAGCGCAAAACCGCTCCGCTTGGAAAAAGAGGGCATATAGCGCAGCGGAGCGGAGCGCCGTGGGTGTTGATACCAAGGCCACCATTTATGGCAATGGAGAAACACTCAAAAGAGGCTTGTTGAAGTAAGAAGCTTGATAGCTATAAGAGCACATTACCATTTGTCCATATTTCTGACTGTCATTTTAATGAGTATGATCTGCAACACCTCTTACAGAGAACTCCTAAAGTGGCTGCACCCACAAAGCTGAACATAAGGAACACACGGACCTTGCATCCTTCCCCGCAAAAATCATCAAGGACGCATTTACTTGAATACTTCTCTTGATAATTGATTTCTTCCACTTGCAAAGCAGTTGGCTTGGAGTTCATGTTGAAAACACTATTGCATTCCAGTACCTGATTCATGTCCCAGGTGAATGTACTTAGGGCTGTGAACCAGCTCTGGCACAGCACAACCAACTCTGCCCAACAATATTTTTGGAGCTGACAGTTCATGCCCTGCTTCACCCAAACCTAACCTAGTGAGGGTGCCAAAAGCCCTGTTGGGGGACTGAGAAAGTCTTAGAACACGGTCTAAGTTGGGGGAAAACAAACAGGTTCAGAGCCTAATCTTGGGCCTAACAAAAATGATGACTGGGACTAGAATAAGATAAAAATAGGTCAGAAGAGGTCACAAAGATCAAGAAACAAGAATAAAGAAATGACTCCACTTACAGTCACCATGTCTGTATCCCTGTAGGACGTCGACGTGCACACACGGAGAGTTTCCAAAAGAATCTGGAAGAACTTTTCTGAAGTTCAGACTGGTGGATCACCTTTATGCACACACCCTTTGTTGGAACTCAATTACCCAAGTTTCAACAACCCACTTAATAAAGGCAAAGCCTCAAGACCTCTTTTGAGGCTCATGCAAGTTTCTATCAAAAGTCTTTTGTGTGTGCATGTCGAGGTGTTGCATGAATACAGACATGGTGAGTCTTCTTTTCATAGATGAGGAAAAGAAGACTAATGGATGGTATTTCATTGTTGTATATATATGTAAGAAGATTGGGGTGAGTCTGCTATAAGCATAATCTAGACTTGTAAACTTGTGTTGATTGAACCTCAACAGGGACCAACAACTTTCTTGCTATAAAACACCACTGTGTAAATAAAGTATCAGATCAACAAGGTCAATATATAATTCAGATTTCATACAACAACATATTGGACATACCTGAGAATTTATAGTACAGATATTCAGGATATTGCTAGATGACCCCCACAATCCAAACTTGTAGGCACTGCCAACATAGGCCAAGATAGTGCTTACAAGTTGGTTTCCCACAAGATGAAACCTACATGCTTATTTTGACATTGTGAAACTAGCACCTACATGTTTGTTTCAGTGTGGGATGAGACCTATAACATATTTCCAGTTACAAGAATGCTTTTTGATTATGGAGATTATATTC